CTTGGCGTATCGGGATGACACTCTAACCAACTGAGCTACCCGGCCAGGGCCTACCCAAATTCTTTAAAAGAAGAATTTAATGGATAATCATCATACTTTTTACAGATCTACTTTAATAGGGCATACTGTAGAATTCAAGAATTTCCTGAATTGGTATGTGATTTATTCCTGGCAAATCATCACCTTTGTCTACATATAGTTCACTTTTTCCAAACTAGAAATGTACTCATTTGATTTAACTTCTTCCATCAAATACAATTAAAAAGAATTTTTTAAAAAATTGCTACTCAGCTTTAAGAACAAGTCAAGAACTTCAACATGGCATGATAGATACGTTGCTTGACCTCTGGGCTTTAGTTTCTTTATAACATACAAGGGCTGAAAGACTTCCAGAGTGTCTTCCAACCTTAATATCCATGAGTTTTACAATGACATAGTACAAGTACTGGATGTCTCATTCTTTAAAAAAACGCACACATTCCTAGGGAATCATTAATAGTGAGGCACATTGTTTTTTAAAGATAATCTACTTTTAATAAGGAGTCTCTTTTCATAGATATTCATTTACCCATGTCTTAAACATAGGAAAATTTACCACCAGGCATTCAAGTTTATACAAGTTTCCCTCTTATATGCCATTTTCTTCTTGATAGAGAAATTCTAATAATTCTATGGTGATAATAGTTACGTAAAAAGAACACAAGTACAATGTCAACAATTCAGCATTACCAAGTTGTTCTGCAGGAACAAGGCATGGGCAGAATATCATTGTGAAAATGTTTATTTACTAAATAACCTTGATAAATTGGAAACTCTTCAAGGCACTCTTAGAGAATGAGGGACCAAACATACTTTTAACATACTGAAACTTAAAAAAGGGATTCAACCCCTGCTTTTCCTTTCACTGAACAAGCCCTAATAAGTGTGTTACCCACAAAATAACACTTTTATTCAGAAGGATTCCCAGAGGACTCAGCTTTTGCTGCATCAAATAAAATGCCATGTTTCTTCTACCCTGTTAGGTTTTCCTAGAGAATATCACATTTTTAATGCTCTTTTTATGATATGTAATACTGAGACCTTTAAAAAGAAAAAGTTGGAAAACTCTCCTTGAATTATAACCACTAAGCTGTGTGGATTTTTCTGTTGGCTTTATTATTTATTTATTTTTAACAAGAGGAAATAATCAAATTTAAAACATACATATGTATGGAAACCCCACATACATGAGAGAGTCAGAGACCCACATGCAAGAGAGGTTCCTCTGTTGGCTCTTTTAAAAGCACTGATTACCTATGCTAATATAATAATTGAACAGAATTAGACTCTCAAGTTTATTCACTGAAATGCCATGAGTTTTACTTTCTGGAACCATTACTTGAATTTGAATTACTTTTACTGCTACTCTAACAAATTTGATCCATAAGGACAACACTGGTAGCACTTCCCAGGATCTCTGTAATGACACAATACTATCGTGTATCAGGGTTATGGTGACCATCTTACTCCTTCAAACACAAGGAAAATTACTCGAGGAGAAGAGCCAGGTGTGATTTACCCCAGGATCTTTCCCATCACTGAGCCCCATGGTTTTTAAACAGTAGGTTCTTCCTAAGTCCTTGTTGAACAAATAGAGTTCAAATGTTCATCATATATATACATATTAGTTATGTGTCAATGTCTTCTTATATACATCTATCTGTATGTCTCTCAGGTAAAATTTAATCTTCAAAAAGCATTTGATTCTGATTAATGTTTTGGTTATCTTACCTATTCAATCAGCAAACTCCTGGTAACCAAATTATCACAAAAAGTAGTTGCTCTATAAAACTGGTTATGTTAAATATAGCAACGCAAGCCAATGGAAATAAAGATATGTGAATTTTTAAAAAGAAAAAAGAACTTATCCCATTACCAGGTTAAGTTCTAAAAGTGTAGACTTTTTCTGACTTGTTCACTGCTGTATCCCCAGCTTCTAGCAGTGTCTGGCACATAAGATATATTATTTTACCTGCCTGTATATATTTAGTTCAGAATGTAAAACAGAATTCATTTGCGGAGTGCAGGAGCTCCAATATAGGTTCATAATGAAGTTTGATTCTGGCTAAGGCTCTAGGATTTGGGATTACCAACTCTAAAGTAAGAATAAGTTTACATCCCAGGCACTGATCAAGCCTGCGATACATCACATGCAGGTGAGCAAGAGTTTCAAGTCATTATCCCTGTGCATGCAGGCAGTACCAGTGCCAGTGCCAGCAATAACAAGTCAGCTTTTCTGGCAAATCCATCAAAATTAAACCTCCAACTTTTGAAAAAAACTAGTATGTTCATTATGGTCCTTCAAGCTTAGAGGCTTAACTATCTGTAGGAAGCACCTATAATTATGATCAATTACTTATGACTTGAAGGCACTTATAAAGGCATCTGCCCTTTTAAAAAACCTTTAAAGAACCAGGCAACAATCCTGTGGGGCAACAATAAATCACAGGTTTGGGGGCTCAACTGTGACAGCTCTACCTTGGAAGGAAAAGAACTCCTGTCACCTCTCCTTGATTTCCTGACCCTGCATGAACACATATCAGCAACCTCTAATGTCCACAACCCTAGTCTAGCCAAGCAAGTCATGGCGGCCAGTGATTGCCCCAAGGCAGAGACGGAAGAGAAGAAACCGGAAGGAAACAAACTGGAATGGAGATCTGTATCTTGTGAGGATGACATCATTGATAATTTTCTCAAGTGTCACTGAATTTCATGGCATTCGACCAATCGGCTTTTCTGAAAAACTACAGGCTCATTATATTTAAGTAGCCTCTTGGTTTCAGAGCCCATAATGTCTGGGTTTGAGTATTTTTTTCTATAGTATAAGCCAGGGGAACTGATGATGCCTTATTGGGGACCTTGCTCTAGGCAAGGGCCCCACTAATCTGCCTGCACACAAATAATACTTGGGCATTTGAAACACTTCTAAATTGACAAAGCTCTCTCATATATACTATCTCAGTTTCTCCTCACAACTTGTAAGAGGTAGGTGTCATCATCAAAACTTAACATGGAAGGATAATTTTAGAAAATGACCCATGTCTTCAATTTGTAAGTATAGCTTCCTGAAAGTTCTCAGTACAGAATCTAAGTCATGGGTCAGTTAGAAATCTCTGAAGACACACCAACCTCAGGGGGAAAAATCAAGAGATTAAGAAAGATTAGCCAAAATCGACTGGAACAATGGCAGAAAACAACCCTCCTCTGATACAAGAATAAACTGTGCTTTGTAAAAAATAGTGTTGCAGAAGGGTGCCTAATACCTCTACATTGCAAGGACAGCATCTTATTTATATACACAATGACCATCCTTGGTTAGGCACTCCATAGGTAACAGACAAAATAAACAAGAATTTTGGTCCTAAAATTCTGGTGGTGAAATTCATCCTTTGGGAAACACCTAGGTGATTCCTCTAAGAAGATAACTAAGTTACAGGGGACAAAATGTACCCTCCCCTTTCCCTTCAATATCCCAAAAGGGTTTTTGAACAAAGAAAACACACAGACAAAAGGGAACCTATTGCTTTTATGTATGATCCCATCTTCCTAAAACACTATTCTCCTAGTCTCATTATCTTCTGTCCCTCTCAGCATTACCGGTTAAAGTGGAGGTATAATAGGGTCTTTATCTTTATAGCCATTTACTACCTTATTTACGCATTTATGATTCTTTGCTGCCTTCTAGCCTGAGTCTAACTGTGTCCAGAACAAAGTGCCACACAAATCACGGGGCCTGGGATAAGAGAAGACAAGTTAAAACCTCCCAGGACGATTCTGTAGACTCCTGGGCTCCCTGAGTCTGTAGAAAGCTTAGTATTTCAAAGGTCAGTCTTGGGTCTCTCCACTTTGATGACTAATGTTAAATTGTTTGACTTGTTACAAAAATATTTAGCTGTCCTTATTTACATATTTCATCCACAGCGCACACAGTAGGCACATATTTGTTGAACAGAATCCCAAGATGGATGAAAAGACAGGAAGAACCCAAGACCTTTTTCCAACGCATTATCTTAAGAGTTGAGAAAGGTAAAATACACCCTAATTAATAGAAGTTTCTGTGCATTCCTTTCTGACTTAAAACTATGCTTCTGTTTAGAAAATAAAAGGAGAACACACCACACAATGTCAACCACACAATGGGGAAATTTAGGATCACTAAGAAAACACCATTATCCCAAGTCATACACACTTGACTATTTGTTACTACACAGGAGAGGCTTCAAGAACTGCTGTCTTCGCATCACGGCACAACCCTCCAGAAAAAGCAAAGGCAGAGTTTAGATTTAGAATCTAAAGATTCCATATCTTGAACTCATATCTACCCCTTTGGAGAAGTAGTCCACAGACTACGCTGGCCCACCAACATAAAATAATACAGACAGGCAATATTTTTGGAATGGGTATTTTAAATGACACTGCTGGAAAATGGTAAAGCACTTTAGTCCTTACACCGTCAGGAATCCTGCTTATCATTGCCTCTTTAATATAGAGAAACTGTGGGTGTGATTGGCAAAAGTATTTTCTGCATTTTTTTAACCTTATTTATACCAGTCAAGTTCTTTTCCTTCTAATTATCACTGCGTCCTGCTACCTCTCGCTTATACCCAGTCTCTCAAAAATTCCCCAATGGCCAGGGGGGCTGGCAGGGCGTGTCGCAGGTTGGCCAGTTCTGTGCCTAAGAGGCACCCAACTTCCTGGACCCCCTCTCAGGGCCGGCAGGACGAGAAGCCTGCGCAGGTCCCATTTTCTGATTAGTCTTTCTTCTTACAGTCTGGCAAGGTCACCGGCTCTGGCTTGTGGCTCTGTCGACAAAACTTTCCCTCACTCTGTAAGGTCAACAGGTCGCGCCATGCCTCCCCAGCCGCCCTCCTCCCCGGCACTCCACCGCGCCAGTGGATCCCCCGGCCCCGCATTTCTCGTGCGCGCGGCCCCGACGGCGCCCGCAAGGTTCCCCGGCTCACCTGACGACGTTGGGGTGCTCGAAGGTCTCCAGGTGCCTCAGCACCGCCACCTCGCGGATGGTGGAGAGCGGCATGCCCTCTTCGCCCGTCTGCACCCGCACGCGCTTCAGCGCCACGAAACGGCCTCCGTTCTTCAGGTCGCGGGCCTTGAACACCTTCCCATAGGCCCCCTCCCCGATCTCCGCCACGCACTCGTACTGCTGGTCCGCACGGCTCAGGCCGTCCTTCTCCATGCCGCCTGGACGCCGCGCGGCGCGGTGCCGCTGGAGC